ACTGTGGTTTGACTTTTCACTTGCTTTCTTTTCTTCTGTGCTTGGTCTTCACCTTACAAGAAAAATTATAATATAATTACAACTATTTTAATTTAAGGCAAATTTTGAAATTTTAATGGTAAAAAAGTATTTCTTACAGTTACAACACTCTCTTGAGTTGAAAGTCCTATTGCAGGAGCTTTTTCTGTCATCCTTCTAGCCTGAAACAACATATACTTTAATTTTTGTTAACAATTTAACATAATTTGAATTCATTATTAAATTGAAGCCACAAAGTTACCTTCTGCTTTTGAGGCCTGTCTTCTAAACCAATAGCTGCAGCATCAGCATTACCTTCCTTCATTAGCAGATAGCCTCTCTTGTTGTGGCCTTCCACATGGCAAAAAGTGCACTTCAACCCTGTTTGCTGCCTTTTGATAGTATGTGATGGAGTCACAACTCTAGGTTTAACCCTTTTTTTTCTACTTTTTTTCGGTTGAACCTCATCAGGCTCCATTCTCCTCACCATAGTGGGCCTACCAGGTGCTCTACCATCATTAGGTGGCAATGGAGGGGCATATCCTGTCTTTCTCCATTCTTTTCTGCCATTGATGGGCATTATGGCTGGTGCATACACTTTTTTATAGGTCTCTGTCTTGTAGCATGGATGTATGAAATCATCAATGTTCCAGCCTTGAAAATGAACAACACTTACTGCATGGATACAAGGAATTCCACTCAGTTGCCACCTCCTACAACCACAAGTCTTGTTTTCCAAATCCACTTTAAACTGATCACCATTGAACACCTGAATTTGGAAATTGAAGTCATTGGACTTTAATGGAATACAGTCAAACAGGTTTTCAATGTGGTTATCAATTATCTCCCTCACCTTAGGACAAAATACAAAATCCCATTTTTCTGCCTTGTCTCTGTTTAACTGCAATCTTTTCATCAAGTAACTCATGATCCACTCAAGCATTGATAAGATGGCATGTTTCTAGCTTCTAAAATGTTGCAGTTGAATGTTTCACAACCATTATTTAGCAACATGTCACACTTGGGAAACTCACTAAAATGAGACCTGCTCCATTGATGAGGAGGCTTGTCACTTAACCAGTCATAAGCACTATCTTCCAACTCTTTTAGTGCATCCATTTTCCTTGAAAAATCATTGACTGTAGTTGTTGTAGCTGCTCTCCAAAGTGCATTCTTAAACCCAATCCCTCTATAACCTGCATTTCTGAAGTTGCCCAAAAGGTGCCTTACACAAAACCTGTGATCTGAGTTAGGCAACACTTGTTGAAAGGCTTGAATCAGTCCTTTTTGTTTATCAGAAATAAATGTCCACTCATGTTGCTTTTCAATCTCAAGGTCCAATTTCAACAACAAAATGAACCACTCCTAGTTATCTCTATTTTCCTTTTCAACAATAGCATAAGCTAAAGAAAACAAGGAATTGTTAGGATCTACTGCAACAGCACATAGTAACACTCCCTTGTTGGGGCCTTTCAAGTGACAGTCATCCACTCCAATGATGGGTCTGCAACCAGCTTTAAATCCAACTTTCAGTGCATTCAAGCAAATGTAGAACCTGTCAAAGTAGTTTTCCCCACTACTATCATCAGTACCCAATATCACTGTGCTCCCTGGATTAGTCCTTTTTATTTCATCACAATAATCTCAAAGAAGAGCATACTGGTCATTAGGAGAACCAGTCTTTTCAGCAAGTGCTGCCATTTTTGCCCTATATGCTTGTGCTCTGGAGAATGTCACTCTAAGCTCCCTCACTTTACTGTCTCTAAAACCCTTAACCTTTCTGTCAGGATCAGATTGCAGCTCATGAGCATATCTACCAGCAAGCCATCTTGAGGTAATATTTTTAACCTTTGCTGTGGCAGCACAAGTATGAGTAGGAGTGTACTTTATCACTTGCCAGGCCTCCTCTCCTTTGATCTTAGTAGCATGCAGCTTTCAATTACAAGCAGAATCAACACATTTAGCATGGACATACTTGCTATCTCTTCTTGTCAATTTCACACTTCTTTTGCATTTGATGCCATTTGACTGAATTGCTCTCCTCAGTTCACCTTTGGTACTGAAAACCAAACCTACCCTGAAAGTAGGATCATATAACTCTGCAGTGTGGAAAATAGGGTACTGGCGACTTGGATCCCTTCCTTCAGAACTCTCATCACTGTGCAAATCATCACAATAGACCACATCAGTGTCAGCTTCAACTGAGATGCCATCATTTACATTTTGTCTAACACCTTCCCTCTGACCATCCAACCATTCAGCATCAAAGTCAACACTATCATCAAACATCTTGTCATCTTCCATATCATACTCCCAATCCACAATATCAGAATAACTCTCCTCACTCTCCTCACTCTCCCCACCAACCCCACCATCGCCCTCAAACCCACCCTCAGGCTCAACCCCACCATTCTCAGCCATCATATCAGTATACTCATCCACAATCTTATCTAAATCTTCATCACTCTCCCCACCCTCATCCTCAACCTCAGCCCCATGATCACCCTTCTCAACCTCACCCTCACCCTCACCCTTCTCACCCTCACCCTTCTCACCCTTCTCACCCTCATCAGTCTCAGCCCACACCTCACCCTCAATTTCATCCACATTTTCATCAAACAATATGTCATCCAACTTGTCAACTTCACTATCATTATCCCCCTCAAAAGTCTCATCACTATCATCTTCATCAACCTCCTTTCCAACTTCATTTTCATTCACAACTTCTGCATTTTGAGTAACAACTTCTGCATTTTGAGTAACAACTTCTGCATCTTGAGTAACAACTTCTGCATTTTCATTCCCTACTTCTGCATTTTCATTAACAATTTCGGCATTTTCACTTAGTTCTTCAACAAAAAAACTAACCTCCCTAATGTTGTTGATACTTCTTTTCCACCAACTCTGAAGATCAGTCTCTGTTGAAAGTAACATGAAACTCCCAACACCAACATATGTGTGCAGTCTCATAGGATTTTTGCACCCTTTAAACTCTGCCACAGACTTAAAGTCAGCAAGTGTGACCAATTCATAATCCACATAGTCAAACAGAATTCTGCTCCCACCTAGATATGCACAATGTTTCTTCCCTAGATAATCAAAAGTACCCCCAAATTCCAAGGTAACTGTGAAGTATTTACTAGTTGTACCTGCAGTAACAATAAAAAAAAAATCTAATGAAAAATCATCCAGGACAATAATGTAGACAGAACAAATGGTAAAGACATTGGAAGAAAAAATAGAAAATCATTAATTAACATACTGTATCTAGGAGCTGCGCAAAATTCTTTTGTCACTAGGGCGTATCTGAATCTCGCAGTCGGGAACACGAAGGCCTTTTGCAAACTTCAAAATGGGATTCGAATTTCGAATAGTTTTTTTCTTCATGGGGTTCGAATTTCGAACAGTTTTTTTGTTCATTATGAGGTGTGAGCGTGGTCGAAGAAAATCTAGGATAGCTTTTCTGTCATTGAGGTCGAAATTGAAGTGAAGACAATCTAGGGTTATTGCAATTGAGGTGGCGATTTTTAGGGTTCTTTGAATTGCACGATCGAAAAAGAGGAATTATGGCTGATTTTCTGATTATCCCAAATTAATAATGGGTGTGCTGCGATTTTCCCTCCAAAATTCCACGTCTGTCCACGTCGGATAATTAATCACGCCACGTATGAAGAGCCCGAAAAAGGAAGAGCCACGTAATAAATTAATCACGCCACGTCGGATTTTTATCAAGGTTGGTGATTAGTGTAACGTTTCCGACCAAAATGCCAACTTCGTGTCTCTTTTTCGTGCGTGCCAACATAATGTCTCTTTTGTTGACAACGACCAACTTAGTGTATCATTTTTGTAATTTTGCCCTTGAAGCTTATACATTAATAATGATTATTGCTATAAAAATATATAAAAAGAAAATCCCTAATGTGTTTTAGAATTTTATTCGAATTACTATTGATCATAACTGAAATTTATATATGATGCCTATTTTGCATAATTTATTTGTGACAGTTGGTCGATCTTGTGAATTACTATTTGAAATTTATTTATTAGAGAAAAAATTATTATCTCTGGCTAAGAATATCTACAGTTGGTCGATCTTGTGATTTGTGCATGTCTTTGACTTGATTTAATAGTTGAAGCCCCATATAATAGTGATTCTCATGATTTGACCATATAGCTGTCGTATAAAATTGAGCAAAGTCAAGTCTACTGATAATTGGATTTGGTTACACGTGAACTTTTGAAATTAGCACTGATCACTTGGTTTTTCTCATGAGCAAAAGGAGAACAACAAATAAATATGAAAAAAAACAAAGTGCCAACCTTAAAAATATAATGTTACGGTGCCGTTACGAAATCATTTCGTCGAGCTTTTTTAACAGTTAGAACATCATGTAACGTGTCGAATATAGTTGATCAAACGGTTACAAACTCCGACGGAATGATAGCATCTCTCTATTCGTGCATTATATTGTGCATATTATGGAGAGACGTATATATGTGCATGTTAACGTATTAAGTTCATTTGTTAAAAAAGGATTTAATTAATTAAACGCCTGTGTAAAATAGGCCACTTTTTGTAAGTTACTAGATACATGATTGAAACCAACAATAAATAATAGTAACTAATACTCTAATAATTAATTATGCAAATTAAATTAATTAATACACGATTCATTCCCCCCCATGCACATTACTGATTGGTAATTGCTCCCTAATAAGTTAAATGCACCACATTAAGTGTACTCCGCAACAATTCTACTTATTATTATTATTATTATATCGTAACTCCCACAATCGTGTGACTATGCACGAACTTTTATCCATTTAAATTTCTTCTCTACATTTAATAATTAATAATAATAATATTATTGATTGTTCCTCCAAAAACAATATATATAAGCCAAATCTGATCATTTCTGTTACTTGAACAAAATTTCATTATAATATTTTTCTATCTGTTAAAAAATAAAAATAAAAATAAAATGATCTACACAGGACACAAGTTGGAGAGCCAGAATGAAGTGTACAATCCATTCTTAGAAGAGCAGACTTCTTTCGGGTAATTTTGTTGAAGATCTTAACATTTTTTTTAAGTGATTTTAATTACGGGGAAATGCTACAGTCTCGTTACGGAATCATTCCGTCGGAATTTGTAGCCGTTAGATCATCTATCCCGACAGTTACATGATGATCTAACGGCTGCGGCCGTAGCATCTCCTTTTTATCACATACAACTATTTTAATTTACATGCAATCATTTCAATTATAGATGTGTGTATGTGAACATGGTTGCCATGTAAGATTTTTGCAGGCCATACCAGCCACACTATGCAAGCCCAGAAAGCTTCAACTTAGGTTTCCCTACTACTTTGCTCGAATTCGACTCATTTCCAATCGCTCATCAAACAAACGTCACTGCCGACGTTGAACTCAACACTTTCGAAGACATTTCCGCTTATTTGGGCATGTGGGATTTCGACCAACCTCAATTTTACAACGACGTTGCGAATAATAACCCTAATCCAATCACCGGCATGCACAACGACTACGCCACCACTATCGTTCAAAACCCTAATTACTACGGTACAATGATGTTCGAACATCCAACGGTGGACGTGGCTTGTCAAGGTCAATTGTTGAGTTTCGACGTGAACGAGGATGATGCCAAGAGAAACGGGAAGTACAACAAGTCGTCCGCGCTGCAATTGGAGGAGATCCAAAAGTACTTTGACGTCCCGATAACTAGGGCTGCAAAAGAGCTGAACGTTGGGCTGACCGTTTTGAAGAAACGGTGCCGAGAACTGAATATCATGAGGTGGCCCCATAGAAAGATCAAGAGCCTCAAGTCACTTATCCATAATGTTAAGGTAATTCATTTCATGATTAATATGATGATGAATAAGATCTTAATATTTATGTATGTATAAATTGGTCATAAAATGACTTAAATTCGCGCTTTCTTTGTGTTATAGGAGTTGGGGATGACGAACGAGATTGAGATGTTGGAGGAACACAAAAGAATGGTGGAAAAGATACCGGAAATGGAGTTGACCGAGAGAACTAAGAGATTGAGGCAAGCTTGTTTCAAGGCCAACTACAAAAGGAGAAGGTCCATGCAGCAAGCTGCAGGCTTATGAACTTGCTTCAAGTTATAATTAGCTAATAATTATTTATTTGGTTTAGTTAATTAATAGCCCTTGAAAGATGATCAATGTCTTATTAGCTTGTGTATTGTCTTCTTTCTATCTATAGTATATTGCTTGCATGACAATGGAGAAGTAGTAACTATTATCTATGCATTTCGTTTTCAGTATTTACCACTAAAACGAATATAAGTAAGTTCTCTCAATCAAAACTGAGCATATTTTTACAATGTAGAGTATGAACTTTTCATCCTCAGATATACAAAATCGTAACTCCGAATTTTTTCAATCTCGTCTACGCTTGATCTTCTTGGAATTTCCCATTATTTTCCTGAACTCCTCTGCGTCCTCCTTGTTCGCAATTTTGGCACTCCTCCTCTCTTCCTTCTGGATATCACGAAAATTAGCCTCCATGTTGACGTCAGTGCCTGCGTCGACATTCTTGTACTTGGCCGGATCATACCCAAACATCCTCCGTATAATACCGATCGCTTCTTCACAACTTTCTTCTTTCTTGGAACAGTTTCTCACATGAATCCTCGGGCGCCGGATTACTTCCTTCTTCATCTTAGGCTCGGGAAGAACTACTTCACAACCTTTCCTCAAAATTTCTGCGTGGGGCCTTTTTGGTGAAATTATTCGCTCTTTGTCGGGCCGGGAATTTTTCGTCTCTCTCTGGATCTCCAAAGGAATGGGCCTGGAATTTTCATCGGCCGATAAAAACGAGTAGTCCCGACTTTCTCTCAGCCAACTCGACTTCTTCGTCCTTTCCATTTTGTCCAAAATCTTTGGCACCTCTTTGGGCGTATCAGCAGCAAACAGCTTCTCGTCTCCGAAGAATTTGTTCAAACGTTTGGGGGTTAGTAACCAGTGTTTGGCTTCTTCGACTACCCTGGCGGCAATCACGGGCTCTGAAGGCCCGAAAAGGCGTCCGTAGTTGGCCGAAGCTGGAGCTATGGCCTGAGACGTGACACCAGCGACGGCGGCGTGGTGATTTTCTTTCCGGAGTCGGGCCCTGTGCACCTCTTTCAGCTGTTGCCTCAGAGCAAGGCAATGATCCATCTTTGGTTTCGGGGATTGAATTCAAAGAGTATTTTTTTGATGGGATAGGCTTCGTATTTGTTGTATATATATGAAGAAATATGTACTTGATGAACAAGGAAATATTATTGTTCTGTTTCCTGATCGGACTAGGATTGAACAACTTATTAAATATTTTCATAATTTTAACACCTAATTAATTAATTAATTAATTAAGTAAACTTCTCGTGAAATTGCTACAAAAAAAATAAATAAATAATAGTAATAATAAAAAATAGGATTACACTAGTAGATAATATTTTTGACTTGTCAAGTAATTTTATAATTTTAAGTCGTAAATAATTAATTAATTGATAATAATATAATAAAGTAAACTTCTCCTACATCTGCTACATAAAAAAAAAAAAAAAATAATAATAATAATCGAAAATAGAATTTCAGTAGTAGATAATAGTTTTGAGATTAACTATGTATATAATTGATACATTGAGTCACTATATTGTTTAACAAAATTAATCATCGGTGAGGAACTTAATTTAAGAAGTAGAATTAGTCAAATTAAGTGATTAAATTATCATAGAAATATTATCTAAGGAACTTAATTTAAATAGGGGAATGATCAAATGTGACACCCGGTATTTGATAGCATAACAAATAATAATACTAAAAGTTAAGTGACCTAACGAGCAAATAATTTTGGTCAAAATTATTAATGAGTAAAGGTCTTGGTATTCTTCATTAAGAAATAATAAGAAAACTATAACCCCAAATCCTTTTTTTTTTTTAGTGATCAATAGTTTTCTCCACTTACTTCTTGGATGACTCGAACTCGAGACCTATTTGTCCTAAGTAAGAGTGAATCGTCACCCCCTAATCTCTTCAGTTTTCTTCGCTATGTTAAAAGAGAAGAAGAATGGTTCACGGCCTTATAGAATCTTTCCAAATTTCAAATTTGAGTTCGAATCCAATCAATGGAAATGAATCCATCAAGTACGGTTTTGCTATTTAGTTCTGATTCTCGATTATTCAATATGAATGCTCATGGGATAAAGCAGTTTTCGCATAAGGTTAATCCCATCAATTGTTATCAAAGCTTTTTTATATTAGATTTTCGGGAGTCAATTTTTATTTGGTTTGGATTCATGTGGCTAAATTTTTGTGCGAATTAATTCACTATGTTGTGAATATCCTGCCACATATTCGGTTTAATCATGTGACATTTTTTTTTTTTGGTACAGGGACCTTCCGGTTTCCGGATCCACAGGGGAACCGACTAATTCGGAATCGAGCCGAGTAGGACCACAAAGACGGCAAAGCTCTCCCTCAAGAGTTTTTAATCAAGCGACATTAATTATTCAGAAGGCCATCATTATTAAATTTAGTACACCCTGCCAAATTCATATGACATTGCATGTCATGATTGGTTTGTGGATTGTGGTTAGGGTTTTCAGAAAGTTACTATGCGGCTAGTCGTTCCATGAGAATCCTCTCAACCACCTTCAATCTACTCGCTAACGCCAAGTCCAAATTGAAATTTCTCCCAGCAAGTTTCAAGTCTACTAGTTTCCGACGTCATTTTTCCGACTCGCCGGCGCTTTCCCCCAATTCAAAGCAGCATGACGACGCCAACAACAACAATCTCATGCTTATGGTGCGATATATAATCAACGAAAGAACCTGTGACTACTGCATAATCTCAACGGAAAATAACTCGTTCCCAGTGGTCGAATACAATCTTCCCAACTCATCTATACTCAGGGGCCCAGGGCTGAAAATTACTATCCAAAGTTTAGGAATGCCGATTACATCATTCGAGCGTGTTTCAACTACAAATGGATGCTTTTGACATGTTAAAAATTGTCTGGACCTTCTTATGAGCTTTTGTGGGATCCGAAGACCAACGAGATGAAACCGCTCCCTCGTTCTCCACTTGGGCCTCCCCTGCCTTTCCCAAGGTTGATTTTCACTTTTGGTTTCGGCGTGGGGTTTGATCCTCGTACATCCGAGGACTATAAGGTGGTCAGATGTCACGTTCGAGTATGAAGGCTTTCATCGAGTCCAGTCCGAGATATTTTCCCTCCGAACCAATTCATGGAAGGAGATTACATATCCGCATGATCCTCGGTTCAATACCTTTGAGAGCCTTTCTCTTCACATCCAGGGATTTTATTACTGGCTAGCTTATAATGCTACCTCACGAACTTGTGCTATTGTTCAGTTCGAATTTGCTAATGAGAAGTTTCTGCCTCTTCTTATCCCTATGCCCCGAAGCAAAAAGCTAGCGAACATCAACAATGTTGTTCCTGCTGAGTTTCACGGCTCTCTCGCCGCTGTTGTTTTCGATTTTGAGCTGGAGAAGACGAAAAGTGATGATGTTCCTGTGAATAAGAAGAAGCCTTGTTTCGAGATTTGGGTGTGGGGGAATGATGACGGGTGGTCCCGCGTAGACAAGTTCTACGTTCCTACTGATGCGGGTGCCCTTGTTAGGTTCTTGGGACTATACAAGAATGATAAAGCACTCATTCAGGACTTCAAGGGTGACTTGCTGCTTACAATTGTGAGAACGGCGAGTTGGAGAATCTCGGCATCCGTGATCAAGCGTGGAATATGCAGGTTTTCCCCTTTGGTAACAGCCCCCCTTCCCTGAAAAAATTAAACCTGAGGTCGTTGACCCTATGGTTTTGGTGGCATCTTTCTTTGTTCGAGTGTCATAGGCCTGTCATTTTATGTGAGGCTTTTTTTT